TAGAGGAAGTTGTCCCTTTCACATACTTGGGTAAGGCAGCATCAGTTCAAATACAGGCAGCGCAGGTGGCACAGATGAGGATGTCAAAGACAGGATAGGAAAAGCAAGCAGGACAGGCTCTCATTCACCTGAAATCAGAGTGGAGATCTACTGCACTCACCATGAACAACATGAACCGTGAACAACATCTGGATTTTCAACACCAACGTCAGTCAAGTCAGTGCTTCAGTGTGATGATTCAGAAACTTGACGTGTCACGAAAAGCATTTCCAACAAACTGTAGACATTCATCATCAGCTGCTGCCTATGCTAGCTCAATACTGAAGATGAGATGGCCAGAATAGAATAATAAGAACAAGCAACCAGGAACTCTGGCTGGCTGGCTGTCAACGAACCAACTGACCAACAACCCATCTCCCAACAAATATGCAGTAGAAGAAAGTGGAGATGGATTGTATTGGGCATACACTGAGAGAGAAAACCGATTGGGGACATCATGCCTCAGGTCAGGCACTCGAGTGGAACCCAAAGGGGAAACGACGAGTTGGGCGTCTGTGCGAGGCTGACATGGAGGAGATGGTTTGAGGAAGAGATGAAAGCTTGTGGGCAGTGGTGGATTCAGGTTGAGAAGACTGCAGAGAAGAGAGTGGAATGGAGACGTGTTACTAAAGCCCTTTGTTACACTGGGAACCGAAGGGACAATTAGTAATAATATGCTTGACATCACGAAGCCCATACTTCTTTCAGTAGTTCAAACTAACAATCAGTGACGTTTGAGATTGATGTCATATCTTTGTTTGACCACTCTGAAGCTTCATTCATCCTACTTTTAATTCTAGTAATCTTGCATATTGGCGTAGATGATAGCTAGGGATGCGTGGTACATCATCGAGTCAATTTACTTGACGAAGGTTTACCATCTCATCAACTAATTTCCTTTCATTACCTAGTATTTCGTCTCCATAACAATGAATCTATCCACTTGCTCTTTATATACTACCGCGAAGTATGGCAAATGGAACCGATGCGCTTCTGTGCAAGGTTCTACATTGATTTTGTCTTTCTGAAAAACAATGAATCAAAATCCTCTTTTCTGGTGAAATAAACTAATATCATGTCACTCATACGGTTTATACTTAGTAGAGATGAAATTATTCTGTAAAAAAGAATCTAATTTAGATGAAGGCATCTCTTCAATATGATATGGACCATTGTAGCAAATTTAGAAAGAAACTTTTAATACATGACTTAGAGTTCATGAAAAACACTATACGGCTCAGCTATGCAAATGGTTGAGGAACTCTGCGATGGTTGAAATACAGTTTATAAATAAGTTTAGGTTATTTGTTTACAAGCCTCATTTTTTACCCTGAGACCAGTAGTAATAACGGTCCCCGAAGAAACTTCATCCATTTGCAGTATTCAGAGAGGTTAGTTGACTTCTAAGGTTGTTAGTATTTGCCTTCAACAGATAACTGCTACCTTGGGATTGGTGGTAGAACTTGTATGTCACAATGACCCAAAGAGCTATGCAAGCTGGAACGTTTGTTCTCTCAAGATCCTACCAAACCACAAAGGTCTGATGTAGAGCGGTAAGACGAAAAGTTAGCGTCATAGTGTAAAGTGTTACGCTATGACGAGGGTATGAGGGTGAAGTCGTAATGTTGGCTGAATAGAGTGTGATAACAGTAAGGTGTTCTCTGCGGATTGTCAACACCGTCATGCTGATGCTGCCTACCCCACAGGAAAGAGGGTATAGGTTGCCCCAAAAAACCACACTGCTCCCAGTTCTGTGGTCTTCCAGTGCCGGTCGAATAAGTTTTTACTATCTGGCGGTAGAACAACCAAATCTTTAACAATCTTCAGAATGAACCAATGCACTTGTATGTGAGGTTCTACATCGGTTTCATCTGGCGATCATAACACGGTTATAGATAGCTGGTTCAAACTTAGGAATTTTCATCATTTTAATATTAATCCGTAAATATACAGATTTATCCGTCAAACAACGTGATTCAAAACAACTTAACCAATACACCCTACTGATTAAAAAGTAGTATAGTTAGTCAAACTTTACCAGCAATGCTAATTATATTTCCATTTTGAAATATGGTAAAGACCACTTTAGGAGATACTTTTCGATAAGTAAAAGGCAAGCGTATAATTGATGATGGTTTTTGAAAATATTGGTTTATGCTGTCTACACTCTAAAAGTTAGGAGTAAGCTACAGAAAGTAATACTTACATTCAAACCTTTTTCAATCGCAAACACATAAAGGGGAATTGCCAGAAAGTAAATAGATGAATACTGTTGTGAGGAAATCAATTCATTTGCTAGCCTAAAATTGGAGCAGCTAACTTTGGAGCAGCTAACATGGAGGAGATGGTTTGAGGAAGAGATGAAAGCTTGTGGGCAGTGGTGGATTCAGGTTGAGAAGACTGCAGAGAAGAGAGTGGAATGGAGACGTGTTACTGGAGCGCTATGTTTCACTTAAAACCCGAGGGAGAAATAGTAAAATAATAATGAGCCCAATGTGGGTTAGCGAGGCAACGAGATTTCGTTTTGTCGTGCGTGATGTGTAAAAGACTGCCTTCTCCGCTGGCCACAGTTTCCATCAATGCGTTCTTGTGGGATATTTTCCGGGCTTTCAACTCTGGGACGCTTAGTATCTGAACCAGATTTGAACTGCTGCAATGGAATGAAACATGCTTTCGCTGTGCTTTGTTTCGTTTTCGGTTCGTGGAAGCTCTTTACACATTTGCATAATTCCGTCACTTTTAAATCTTTTCTCGTAAATAGAACACACATTGGAAGCAGGCCCACCAGAGGTTTATAGTATCTTATCAGCCGAAGATGCTAAGTCATCATCTGCGTTGTCTGGCCAGAATGGCGCGAACCTCATCGGGTGTGTTGGCGATTGAATGCGGGTAAGTTTAGGAATCAGATCCGAACACGAATTTATAAAATTTATTGATAGGAAAATGGGAATGGACAGCACAAAATGAGTGACCCTGCTAATTTATATATTGGTCTTGGGCCAACTTGAAAAACGCAGGGACCAACCGCCAATTACTCGCACTCGCAACATACCCACGAATACAAATCAAAGAAGTACAATGGGGTGGTCGGGTGGGACATTATATTTGGTAGACCGTTCAAAAATTCCCATGAGCTGCTAACTGGCTGTTGGGTCGCATACTACCAGAGCAACGTGGCAGAACCACATGCCAAATGGCTTGGGTGTTTGACCGTGGGCCTTCAGCTTAGTGAGTCGTTTAAAACTTTGGAGGTCTGCGGCTGTGTTGAATCTCATAGAGCCTTAGCCTGTTGATCCTAAGAAATTATTTGCCACCACATTGCATGCATTAGTATCGTGCTAATTCTGCATTTTACATATTGCGCAGTAACAAACGATCTCAGCCGTCTTGTGGAGCAAGATGAGGAATTCTCCAGGTTGGATTTGAGCGAATTCCCGCAAAAAATGGACGGCCGGTTGTCTCGCAACAGACGGAAACTCCATTTTTAAGCTGTACAGATAAACAACGTTCGTTTTTACGGGTACTGGGAGGAATTTACAGAATGTGTCAAAAGTGACAAAAAGGACACATTACTTTTACTGTAAGCAGTTAATAAGTAATTTTGTGCAGCCCCGACAAGTCTCAATTTCGCGATTCTCCCTCATACTGACTGTGTCAAGTATTGAAGAGCTGTGAAGTCCCGAAGTGCATTTAGAGCACCGCAAGGTGACTTCAACTTCCTTGCTGGGTGGGCGAGTGCCAGTGGATTGACACTTGGTCTAGATTAGTGATGAACCATGTTGCCCGAAACTAACAAACCTCAGACATTATCGTGTTCTTTCTGTGGCATCTATCTTTCGCGCATGACCAAGGAGAAAGGCCCGCAACTAATACCAACTGACGAGCCAGGCGCTTCTTCTAGTTCTCCAGGAGACGCCTCCAGAGGTAATCCACATGTGTTTTTGGACCACGGCAGCGACCCTGTCTGAATAGGCTGGAGGATATAAGGCTTTACTCTCTCTCTCTCTCTCAGCTACCGAAAGTCACACTGTGGATAGATAGTGGGTTGTAAGTTACTGGGTAATCAGTCACCCAAACAGCGGAATTCTATGGAACGGTCACGATGGAAGCCATCATAGAAGCTCAAAGGGAAACATTCATGCAACGTCAAAAACCTGCGAATGGAAGGCATTACCTGAAGATACTCCCACTGCTCCGTTGGTCAACGGTTACAAGAAGGGGTTCGACAGCTGCGCAGTGGCATACTTGCGTCCATCCAACTGGGATGAGAACTGGTCCAAAACGGCTCTTGATGCCCCAGGATTACAAAGCAGCCACTGTCATACCAACTATTTTGCACTGCCACTACTACCGTGGATCTCATTGGACCCTATACTCTTCTTTCAGACGTCTCACCTCCAGTTACCATCCCCGCACTAACAACACTACCGTTTCTATTCTAACTATTCCTACCATGTACTTACCTGCTACTTCTCGTCCCTCTGACTTTGCCATTTCGCATTACTCATAGGGTCCTCCTTAAAACTCTTATCTTACCCATCTTTCTTTAATCTACCTTGGTTTCTCCACTTCTCTCTTTCTGCTTCTTTCCAACTTGCTTTTGCCACTTCCCGCCCCTAGTTTTCGCTGGACATTAATTCAAACTTCTCATCTTCCACTTAAAGCCAGCCCAGAAAGCTGTCTGGTGATAATAAACTGAGAAACGCACTTACACTAACGTCCTAGAACAAATCATACAACCCACCTACAAATTTTATCAACACCCAACCGTCCGTCTAGCATACTAGTGGAACAGCAGATGCGTAAGTAAACCCACTTCATCTAAATTCACCAAAGACCTGACACCATTCCCTAAAACCTAGAAGCGAGCACAAATAAACCAATTAGTTTGCACAAGCTAGTAAAAAAATAGGTTATGAACGTTTCAAGTTTGTAGGTCATAGGCCGACTTTTTGGTTGACCTTGGGTAGAAGTTGATGGTAACCCGGTAGTTTGAACATGCGACTTCGACTGAAGTTTCTGGACAGGTTTCACACTTACGAGTCGCCTTCGACGGACTCATTGCTTAGTGAGCTCTTAGAGTCTGCTTCCAGACTTTTTGCTTTGCGGAGGTGAGCGATGACTAGAACGTTTGCATTCTGTTAGGTTCGTTCACCGGAGAACTACACATAGTTCACATGAGTACTAACCAGTTTGGGTGACTATTCTCTAACTACCCTGTCTAATTTTTAATGAGTGGTTATAAAGAACCGGTTAAAACAGTCCAGCATCGATTCCGAACTAGGGATCCCTTGGTGTTAGAAACCCAATCAACTTTGAAGGATTCTCGTGTAAACTTGGAGAACAGGATCTAAGCGATCAGTGGCTCTTGAAATAAACTTAAAGAAAGCTACCTGCACAGCTCAATGCATTTAGTTTGGTCAAAATGTTCCATTGGAATGTCACTGATAGACTGGGATAAGCTATAGCTTATCCCGGTCTATCGCTAGCTTATAGAGCGCACGCTCTATATCCATAACATATTTTTCTCGTCTAAAGGTTTTCGTAACCTCTCACAATCAATTGCTAAGTTTATAGGAGCAAAAAAAATATTCTAAGATTAGATTTAACCGCTTTGGGCGAATAACATTTCTACCTTCAGTGTGGAAAAATCTCAGGTTACGCCCAGAGTCTTATAGTTAATTCCAAGCGATTGTTGCATGTCTTTAAGTCTTTTCGTGTTGCTATTTTACCATGTGATAAGTACATCTTAAAGACGAAAAGTCATGTTGATACTCCCAGCATATAGATTACTTCGTCTCAATAGTCCGCTGTCTAGGCAAGATAAACAGTGTCGAGGTGGAATTTTGAAGGCTGCAAGTGAATGTTATTCATTGCTACCCTTCTGTTCATCAATATCTAACCAACTTTATTAGTTGCTCAGGGTTATTTGGCAGGTTATTGCCGCTATTTCTTATCCTCACCTATTCATGAATTCAATGTCCTATGTGTAGCCTAAGGCTGGTTAATGCCAAAATTACAAGATAAATAATTTGATTAGTACTGATACACTAGTCGGATTCATTTAAAGACTTTAGTCTTTTGAAAACTGTTCACTCTCAAACTAAGTGCATAGTAGTGATAGTGAACCAAAAGAATGTTTTAGTTGCTCCTTGTGATAACAAATACATACAGTATTACTTGGCAGAATGTCTTGGAGTTGTCTTCAAGAAACATGAAAATCTCTATCGTTGAGTAATCGAGATATACAGTGTTCTTAGGTATATTTTCATCAGACAAGCAATTCAACATAGGACCTTTCATTACTGCGTAGCAGTTCAGTTTGTACGGAAGCGCCAATTGTATTCATAATCCATGTGAAACAAAACTGGATTATACTTGATGTCACTCAAGCTAATTTAACTGTCATCGCCGCAGAGACATACACCTAGAACAATGTCTATGTCAATTTTAATAGTACGCAGTTCTTCTGAAAGCATTTTATCTTCACACTAGCATGTTCTAATGTGCATAGTGGAACACATCTAAACTCGGATACAAAGCTTTATCTATAAAGATAGTTTGTTTTTCTTCTGTTTTGTTGTATATTGTTCCTGTTATTTCAGCAAACCTTTTGATCTTTCTCATTCGCACTTATTTCTTCTAGAGATAATGTTCAAATCAGTCTGAATGCAAAGGATTTCTATGATTCAAGCAATTCTCACCTAAGCCTATCTCAAATTGGTGTTGTCAGCGGAGATATTATTTATGTTCGATCATTAGAAAAGTTGGATGATATCAAGCAATCCTTGGAAGCTGAAGTATGTTTTTTTATCACAAAATATAAGCATATTGCTTTTTATAAAGTTAGCTGCTCCAATTTTTAGGCTAGCAAATGAATTGATTTCCTCACAACAGTATTCATCTATTTACTTTCTGGCAATTCCCCTTTATGTGTTTGCGATTGAAAAAGGTTTGAATGTAAGTATTACTTTCTGTAGCTTACTCCTAACTTTTAGAGTGTAGACAGCATAAACCAATATTTTCAAAAACCATCATCAATTATACGCTTGCCTTTTACTTATCGAAAAGTATCTCCTAAAGTGGTCTTTACCATATTTCAAAATGGAAATATAATTAGCATTGCTGGTAAAGTTTGACTAACTATACTACTTTTTAATCAGTAGGGTGTATTGGTTAAGTTGTTTTGAATCACGTTGTTTGACGGATAAATCTGTATATTTACGGATTAATATTAAAATGATGAAAATTCCTAAGTTTGAACCAGCTATCTATAACCGTGTTATGATCGCCAGATGAAACCGATGTAGAACCTCACATACAAGTGCATTGGTTCATTCTGAAGATTGTTAAAGATTTGGTTGTTCTACCGCCAGATAGTAAAAACTTATTCGACCGGCACTGGAAGACCACAGAACTGGGAGCAGTGTGGTTTTTTGGGGCAACCTATACCCTCTTTCCTGTGGGGTAGGCAGCATCAGCATGACGGTGTTGACAATCCGCAGAGAACACCTTACTGTTATCACACTCTATTCAGCCAACATTACGACTTCACCCTCATACCCTCGTCATAGCGTAACACTTTACACTATGACGCTAACTTTTCGTCTTACCGCTCTACATCAGACCTTTGTGGTTTGGTAGGATCTTGAGAGAACAAACGTTCCAGCTTGCATAGCTCTTTGGGTCATTGTGACATACAAGTTCTACCACCAATCCCAAGGTAGCAGTTATCTGTTGAAGGCAAATACTAACAACCTTAGAAGTCAACTAACCTCTCTGAATACTGCAAATGGATGAAGTTTCTTCGGGGACCGTTATTACTACTGGTCTCAGGGTAAAAAATGAGGCTTGTAAACAAATAACCTAAACTTATTTATAAACTGTATTTCAACCATCGCAGAGTTCCTCAACCATTTGCATAGCTGAGCCGTATAGTGTTTTTCATGAACTCTAAGTCATGTATTAAAAGTTTCTTTCTAAATTTGCTACAATGGTCCATATCATATTGAAGAGATGCCTTCATCTAAATTAGATTCTTTTTTACAGAATAATTTCATCTCTACTAAGTATAAACCGTATGAGTGACATGATATTAGTTTATTTCACCAGAAAAGAGGATTTTGATTCATTGTTTTTCAGAAAGACAAAATCAATGTAGAACCTTGCACAGAAGCGCATCGGTTCCATTTGCCATACTTCGCGGTAGTATATAAAGAGCAAGTGGATAGATTCATTGTTATGGAGACGAAATACTAGGTAATGAAAGGAAATTAGTTGATGAGATGGTAAACCTTCGTCAAGTAAATTGACTCGATGATGTACCACGCATCCCTAGCTATCATCTACGCCAATATGCAAGATTACTAGAATTAAAAGTAGGATGAATGAAGCTTCAGAGTGGTCAAACAAAGATATGACATCAATCTCAAACGTCACTGATTGTTAGTTTGAACTACTGAAAGAAGTATGGGCTTCGTGATGTCAAGCATATTATTACTAATTGTCCCTTCGGTTCCCAGTGTAACAAAGGGCTTTAGTAACACGTCTCCATTCCACTCTCTTCTCTGCAGTCTTCTCAACCTGAATCCACCACTGCCCACAAGCTTTCATCTCTTCCTCAAACCATCTCCTCCATGTCAGCCTCGCACAGACGCCCAACTCGTCGTTTCCCTTTGGGTTCCACTCGAGTGCCTGACCTGAGGCATGATGTCCCCAATCGGTTTTCTCTCTCAGTGTATGCCCAATACAATCCATCTCCACTTTCTTCTACTGCATATTTGTTGGGAGATGGGTTGTTGGTCAGTTGGTTCGTTGACAGCCAGCCAGCCAGAGTTCCTGGTTGCTTGTTCTTATTATTCTATTCTGGCCATCTCATCTTCAGTATTGAGCTAGCATAGGCAGCAGCTGATGATGAATGTCTACAGTTTGTTGGAAATGCTTTTCGTGACACGTCAAGTTTCTGAATCATCACACTGAAGCACTGACTTGACTGACGTTGGTGTTGAAAATCCAGATGTTGTTCACGGTTCATGTTGTTCATGGTGAGTGCAGTAGATCTCCACTCTGATTTCAGGTGAATGAGAGCCTGTCCTGCTTGCTTTTCCTATCCTGTCTTTGACATCCTCATCTGTGCCACCTGCGCTGCCTGTATTTGAACTGATGCTGCCTTACCCAAGTATGTGAAAGGGACAACTTCCTCTAGGTTTCTCCCGTTGATGCTGATTGGTGGTTGTTATTGTTGTTGTTGTTGTTGGTTGGGTATCTTCATCACCTCCTCCTTCTCTACGTTCACTTGAAGTCCTGTCTCCACTGCCTCACCTCACCTCCTCTTCTGTCGGCTTGTTATTTTTCACCTGCAGATCTTCGAGGTTTTGCGATACTAGACATAAATCAATGGCGAAATCCAAATCTTCTTCTGAAGTCTTTTAATTGGTCTAACCAGCGTATGCCCATCTTCTCTCTCCTCACGGTTTGCTGCATGATCCAGTCGACCAGAATCAGGAAGATCATGGTTGACAGTAGAATGCCTTGTCTTAACCCTATCTTCACTTTGAAGGCGTCGCTGAGCTTTTCATTGTGAATCAGTCGGCATGTTTCATCATCATAAGGCATATAGCTGTTGAATGAGGTTGATAAAAGTTTGTGACACTAAAACTGTAGTGTTGAAGTAGCTGCCTGCCAAATTACTTCTCAGTCGACGCTGTCGAAGGCCTTCTCGAAGTGGATGAAGTTGAGGTAGAGAATTGGCAGCTATTCTATACTCTGTTCTATAATGATGCGTAGCATTGCTATTTTTGTCTGCACATGATTTGTTCTTCCTGAAGCCAGCCAGCCTGTTCCGGTTGTAATTTTGGATCGAGAGCATTTTTTGGTCTCTGCAGCATGATGCGGCTTAATGGTTTGCTTGCTTTGGGTGGACAGGAGCATGATCCTGCACCAGTTCTTGCAAAGACTTAGGTCTCCTTTCTTTGGAAGTTTGACAAGGTAGCTCTTGTTTTAATCAAAGGGCAGGTGCCTTTTCTCCCTTCCTTCCAACCGTCTGCAGTGCTGGTGTGAGCATGTCTGCTGCCGATGTCTCTGCATCTGTTTTCAGTACATCTGGCGTAATCCCATCTGGTCGTGCTGCCTTCCTGGCTGGATTTCAGCAAGTTTACGGCGTTCAGGACTCCAGTTTCACTTTTTTTCGGAGGGGTTGTGTTTACTGGTAGTTGTGTGGCTGGGCTTCTGGTGGTATTTTCGGATGAGTTGCAGGTGGTGATGGTGGTCGATTCAAGATTTTTTTGAGGTGGTAAGCCCATCGTTTCCTTTGTTTCTCCCCTTTGCTAACTAGGTTTCCTTCATTATCTTTCGTTGATTTCATCTGTGTTGATCTCTCCTATCCTAGATAGTAAGCTGGTTATTTGATATAATGTTGTCGGGTCTCTCCTACTAGTAGTCTGCAGCCTGTTGTGCTTCACTTGCCGGTGTGTTGTGGAAGTGTCTTTCGTTTATGCACGCACTGGTCTTCACTTCTTTGTCCAGTGTAATGTTTTATATGTTGTGTTCAGTTCGTCTTTTCGTTGTTCATCCCTGCACTGCAGTGCACTGGTTCATCTTCTGCTTCACCATCTTCCTCTCCCTTGTCTATCAGCTTCCATGTGTCCGTCGAGATCCATTCCTTGTCTTGTTTCTTCTACCTTCGTAACACGATTATGCGGGTTTCCTTCCATGTCGCTTGCACAAAGTTCGAGTGTTCTTCCACGCAGGTTTCCTCACGGATGTTGCCTAATGTCTGCTATTTTTTTCCTGATGTCTGACGTGATGATGTTCTTTGAAGTTTCGTGCTTCAGTTTCTGTTGTAGGTGGGTGTTGAACTTGAAGTGTGGTTTATCACCAACTTCTGTGAAGGCTTTCAACTTGATTTTGAGGGTGAGTTCCTTGCACTGGATAGTGAGTGGTGTGAACCTACATCTGCTCCCCTTGATCTTGTTTCCAGTAGGCTGCGTCTCCACTTTCTTCACATTGAGATGAAGTCGATGTGATTTTTATTGTGTCCCGGTGTCTGGTGAAATGTTTGTCGCTTTGTGAATATCCTTGTGTTTGTGGACAGTGCATCCAGTCACCAAATCGTTGAATGCGCAGAACTCTGCAAACAGTTCTCCATTCTCATTCACTTCACTGAGTACTTCTCGACCCATGATGAGTTCCCTTCCTGTGTTGTCTGCTCCCAATTTGGCCTTCGTGTCACCGGTGAGAATTTTGATATCGCTAACTGGGGTGTGGTCCATTGGTGTCCATTGTTGGTTGCAGTTGTCTGTAGAATTCCTCCTTCTTCCTTTCATCTGCATTATTTGTAGTTGCGTAGCGTAGCATTGTATGATTGTGATTCTCCTTCCTTTTGAGTTGAATCTTGCTGTCATGATCCTGGATGAGATTGGTTCCCACTGCATGAGAGATAGCTTTCGATTTTGTTTGGGACATCATGATGGCCACTCGGAAACTCAGTGTGCTGGTGTTTGTTTACTGGGCGACAATATCGGAGTGGATTATTGACTCTGCAGTTGACAGTTTGGAGAGTACACTTCCCTTCCATCTTCTCTCGCAGATTCCTAGTACTTTACCATATCTTCTGATTTCTTTTGCAATCTGGGCAGCCTTGCTAGGTTCATACAAGTTGTGATATTTCATGTCCCTAATCTTACTTTCACTTTCATCGAGAGAAGACACAACGGCCAATTGGCTTCCTGAAGGCTTTCACCAACTGGCGTCATTTCGCCTCTCCGATTTCCGCAAGGAATAATTTCATTTTTATTTTTTATGTCATCTCTGTGCTTTGTAGTTCGTTTAGCGATTGGATTGGTTTCTCGGGGTAGGGTTGCTATCCCTATGCCTAACCTTCCCTCTTTATCCGGGCTTAGAACGGGCTAGTAACTGGTTAACTAATTGATGTTGTCAGGTGTATGTACAGCGCAAATGGGTCTTTGGAGAATTGAGATAAAATGATCTAACGTCGATGGCAGCTGTGGGAGCGTATGCACAATTTATTATCTGTAACAGAGATCTTATTTATGATTGGGTTTTTTGTGGAGATGTAGCTCTTTGAATACACTAACTGACTTTCAAGCAATAGATGTCGGGTTCAAAATCTGCTCCAAATATTTCGTCCTAGGCAGTCGGGTAGCATTTTATACTCCCCACCCCTCCAGTACTTGTGGAGCTCAAAGCGTAATACATTTACCTGAACCTCATTGAGTTGCATAAGAATATAGTAGTTTTTTATATCTTCTATTCAACTTGTTTACTACTTCTGATATCGTTTTTGCTTGGTTGTTTGCGTTGACCACTTCACTTACGTGGGAAGTCGAATTAGCTCTTTTGCGTCAGTGACCGATGAAATCTCTTCATGCATACGAACGACTCGATAGGCTTTCACCAACGTATGCCATCTGTGACCCAGCCGCGATACCCGATTGCCTATTAAGGGTCGAGTGTACTGTGCTGCCATCCGCTCTATTCTACTGTTTAGCTGTGAAACGTAGCTATCAAAGATAGAGGATATGAGAAGGCTTCTGGTTTTTGACCACTGTTGCCTTAGTAGCATATGCTGTGTGTCGTGGTATCACCGCGCTAGTAATGCAGAAGGCATGTGTAGAGTTTAAGGGAGAAGAGGAAAGTCAGTTGATAAGGTCATGAACCTTCATCGACTGAGATGGCTTGAACATGTGGTACGCATAGGTAGTGACCGTCTGCATCATCGTACAATGTTGGCTGAAGTAGGTTCAGGCTGGAAAAAAACTCGGGACTGCCAGACTAAAATACAACATCATTGCATTGAATCCGTGACTGTTGGTTTGAGCTATGTTGAGAGATGTAGACTGGCCGGTTGGGGTCCATGTAACAACAGAAACCTATTGTTGGAGACTCTATGGTATAGCTCAGAATTGATATCAGTGGCGTGAATATATCCACACATTATCTTCATCTTAAATGCTGTACTGAATTCAGTATTCACTCCTTCCTCTATTTTGTTGTTTTCCACTGCTTTTAACGGGTTTTTCTTTCAATCTCACTGCTTTGTTACTTGTGGTTGATATAAGATGTCAACTTGGACAGTTATGCGGTAATGTCGTCACGTTGATAACTTATGTACATATATTTACATAAACTCATCTAAACACTAGTCGAGTTGCATTGTTAAGCTTAAAGTAATGAGCGCTTACGTGTACTTTGCTCATCTTTAAGGAACAACATCTGAAATGTACAGCAACAATTTTATCTCTAGGTGTGTGATGCATCATTTGGCATGCCATATTTGTTTTGCATACACTTATAAATAACTAGATGAAAATGCTTTTCTGCGAATCACATGATTAGTAAATGTTACTTACTTCCATCTGGTTTCTAATCGTACTAGATAGTGGCAACGGCGAAATATCCGACTATCTATCAAAAGATGAGTATACTGTGCTGCTGTTCGTTCTTTCCTGTTATACAGCTATCACAGGTGTCTTCGTAACATTGGTGTTGTTTGGTGCAATCACCATCATGCGAGCAATATCAAGGTCAGACGAAATGTATTAGGCAATACAGGCACGTCGATTGATGAGTTTGTGAACCTTCATCAATTGAGGTGGCTTGGACATTTACTTCCCATACTAAGCCACTGCCTATCTCGACTTGCCATCCTAGAGGAGGTTGTATTAGGTTGGAAGAGGGCTCAGAATGGCCTGACTAAGGTGTAGCATCAGTTGATGAAGTCCCTGACTATTGGTCTGAGACGTCGGAAGATGTAGACTGTCTGACTGGTTTCCTCCGAGACGATAGGAATCAGTGGTTGAGGATTCTTGGTAACATGACCGAAAATATGTCACAATAGTGCAGATATATTTGCCTTTACCTTTATCTTAAAATTGTTTATTCTCGCACACAACTTTGTCTACTTTAATATGAGTCATGTAGGTGGTTCTACGTTGATTTTGTGTCTGTTCTCATTTCTCAAGTTGTCTTTTCTTTTAGTACTTGCAGTCACTGATTCTCTATGCTGTGAGAGTAAAGGTTGAGTCTGTAATCTTTAGGTCAAATGTTCCAAGCATCTTTATCTACTTCTGTTTGTACAGCTGCACTGTGGCTCATTGCTATAGTAACTTGATATCCAACCGATGGGTCATGGGTTTAAACTCCCCCCTCTCTTGACCTACCAAGGTTTTGGTAGCCAGATATCATTCGTATCCCTCACACAATAGGTGTGCCTACTCCATGAATGTCCAAAACTTTGTTGAGTGGATTACTCTGTATTTCTACAACTTAATAGGTATCATTATTCCTTCTGTGCATACATTTGGTGTATACCTTATGGCTTGTTTTATTTTTCTTAGTATTTACTTTGTACCGAGTTATTTCTTTGAATAAATACACAAGTATTTTGTCTTATCCACTTTTTTCCATCTTTCATCTTTTCAAGCAAGTGTTCAAGGTCTTCCAATACGAAAACAACTTCTCCTACAAACAAAGGATTATGTGATAGATCAAAATTTAATAGATCAGTGTAAGTTGACACACTTTTTTACTAGTTTTATGTTTTTATTGATTTACTATAGTTGAATTGATCATTGTCAACAACAGCATCAACAACAAGCACCAATTACCATTAACGAGAGAAACCTGAAGGAAGTTGTCTCTTTCACCTACCGTCCTAGGCAGCATCGTTTCAACGACAAGCGGCACAGTCACAGACGAGGATATCAAAGCCACGGTCGGAAAAGCAAGACAGGCCTTCATTAATCTGAAATCAGTGTGGAGATCTACTGCACTCACCATAAAGCATGAACAACATCTGGATTTTCAACACCAACGTCAGTCAAGTCAGTGCTTCAATGTGATGATTCAGAAACTTGGCGTTCATGAGAGCATTTCCAACAAACTGTAGACATTCATCATCAGCTGCCCATGCTAGCCCAATACTGAAGATGAGATGGCCAGAATAGAATAATAGAATAAACAACAAGGAACTCTGGCTGGCTGGCTGGCTGTCAACGAACCAACTGACCAACAACCCATCTCCCAACAAATATGCAGTAGAAGAGAGTGGAGATGGATTGTATTGGGCATACACTGGGAGAGAAAACCGATTGGGGACATCATGCCTCAGGTCAGGCACTCGAGTGGAACCCGAAGGGAAACGACGAGTTGGGCGTCTGTGCGAGGCTGACATGGAGGAGATGGTTTGAGGAAGAGATGAAAGCTTGTGGGCAGTGGTGGATTCAGGTTGAGAAGACTGCAGAGAAGAGAGTGGAATGGAGACGTGTTACTGAAGCCCTGGGGAAGGATACTCAAATAATAATAGTTGAATTGATACCCTGCACAAGTGTATGAGACTGTACAGTGTTTAACCGTGTTCCATTGTACGTCTATGCCTCAGACTTAGTTACTGTAGATGGAAAATATAAGGTATTGTTTTCATGACTGGGGATATTTTTGAAGCTATGCTTACATAAGCATTGTTAAGGTTAGGTGTGTAATAGTGGTTAGTAGGGATAAGTCATATAATGATGTTAACTTACACCATCTGAAATGACAGCCGTGTACTATTAACCCTGAGCCACTGTCTATCCTGATATACAATGACAATTTATTCAGAAATAGTCTTGGTAATCACTTTTTATCACACTGTCTGATTATCACTATTATAACGCTGGTTATATATGCATATTCGTAGGTGTTTACTAAACAAAAGGGCATCTAGAACGAATTAGCATGTTGCACAGAATTACGTTACTGCAATATACTGACTGTACTTTATAACAACATAGAGGATAACAACTTGGAAAATTCCAAATCTCCACAACTCCCTCAAAATTTAATTGAACTAGTGCTCGTTGGTGACTAGCTTCGAGAAGTATTCCCGAAGTCCCAATGACAAGTGGTGACCAGTGGAGTCAAAGCCTGATGGCCATGAGGACAAATACTCAGCGATGACATTGGGTGGTGGTTGCGCTATATATCGTGAGCTAACAGAAGTTGGAAATATGGAGTATTGGATTGTGACCCAGTGGCTGAATGGTAACACGCTGGTCGCGGAACCTGAAGGTTGCGGGTTCGGTCCCTGCTGGTGGGGTGGTGGGTGCGCACTGCTGAGGAGTCCCATATTAGGACGAAACAGCTATCGAGTGCTCCCAGGTTTCCTTTGTTCCTCCAACTGATGTCAGTCTTCGATGAATAACAACTTGAAACATAGAGATGGATAGAATCCCTGTAAATTGAATGATTATAAGAACTTCTAATGTTTTGAAAAGGCTTAAGAGTGATGAATGTATCTCAAGACAACCAATATGTTCTTAAAAATCTAACTAATTAGTATGATGTATAAATTCAGAAAATTCTTTTTACGTCATCAGAAAGCTCAAAATTGCTTATCTCAACAGATTGAGTGTAGAATATCGAAGGTAGTTTGTATGTTAGCCAATAATTATTGTTATACGGAATAGTATAAAAATTCGTATACCTCTGTGGAGTTGTGGTTCATTGGTGCAGTTAGTTGACTGTCAATCAGTGGGTTATGGGTCAAACAGCGCACCACTTACCAATGTTTGATCAGCTAGGTAGTATGTCATCAGCCCTCATGCCATAGATGTGTGTGTGTGACTTCTTGCACAAGGTTGCTAAAGTGTACTCGAATTTGATTTTTGTTCATACCTCTAAGTAAACACTCTTATGTTAAGCGTTAAATAGGGAGTTAAACTGAAGTAAGTTAAGTAAACTTTATTTTTAAGAAACGTTTTAGCGTTGTATAAACCAATTATGTAAGTAAATTACAGTTTACAACCTTCATAGACTAAATGGGGTGGGATGAGAAGGAAGTTGAGACCTGTATTACAGACGCCTAACTATCACCTGTTTCAATTCACTAGTTTACCCTAAAGTAGGCGTAGAATAGAATAAACCTAAAAGGCTTATCAACCCATGGAGTCTCTATTTTGACTTATATTATGTGTGTAGAGTAAGAGTAATAACTGAAGTCAACGACTGGGGAGACTGGAGGATACAGATGAAGTTTAGTGGCAGATATATTCATACCACTGAAGAGTTTATATGAGAAGTATGGATAACTGGTGTATAAAAACATACAGTGATGATTATTTATGAATGAGAAATTCACGTTCACTTAATGTTTTGTATACATGATATAGTTGGAAGCACAAAGAATGACGTCTATACTAGTTGAATAGCTCTGTTCTGTTAACTTATCTAATCTCTTCTCATATTCTTTGTATTCATAATGTGTGTGTGTGTGTGTGTGTAGCTGTTGCAAACAAATCAATTCTTTTATACAGACAATTACGGCCATTAGCTGTACGCATTAAAGATGAACTCATTGAACCTGTCTTGTTGGCATTGCATTCAGGTAAGACAAATTGTCGAGATATTTTCATATAACTGAATAATAACCACAATTGTGTATCCAGGACAGTTGATATTTGTTATCATGATATGATTATAGTAATGAGTTGATTGGGAGAGAGCACAAAACAACACCATGAAATCGTTTTACTATTCTACCATATTATCTTCTGTATATACGGGAATACTTGTCACTTATATCCTAGGTTTCTTGCTGATTGCCTCCAACTAACTAACATCTATCAAAATTTATCGCAATCTTAAACCTTCTGACTTGATGATCACACTGCAAAGTGATCGATAGAAGTTGGGTTACCCTCCAGTAACCAATCAATGTACCTAACCAAAGTCCTACAGGAGATCAATTGCAACCCGTATATTTCAGTGATAACATCTCTAACTGCAACACTGAGTGACATGGGGGTTCGCATCTCCGGCGGGACATCAGTTCCAGATACTCCTTGCTGACGAGTGCTGAAAAGCATGAAACCTTGATGGAGCAGGGATTCCAACCAACTAAGAAGTATCTGAAAGTTATAGAAATAAAACCATTTGATATATATATATATATATATATATATATATATATATATATATATATATTATGAGAAGGTTACAGGTATTTGACCACCGTTGCCTTCGTAGTATAGGACGTATTCCGTGGTGTCACCATGTGAGTAATGCAGAAGTTAGGTGTAGAGTTTTAGGGAGAAGAGGTAAGTCAGTCGACGAGGTTGTGAACCTTCATCGACTGAGATGGTTGGGACACGTACTACGTATGCCTAGTCACCGATTGCCTCGTCACACAATGTTGGCTGAGGTGGGTTCAGGCTGGAAAAAGGCCCGAGGTGGCCAGACTAAAACATGGCACCAATGTATGAAGTCTCTGACTGTTGGTTTAAGCCATGTAGGACGATGCAGACTAGGTGGTTGGGGTCCACGGGACAAGAGGAACCAGTGGTTGGAGACCCTAGGTGATATGGCTCAGAACCGAAGTCAGTGGCGCAGATGTATACACACATTATCCTCATCTTAACGAGGCTATACCGAATCTCACTATTTTGTCACTCCTCTTTCCTTTCTTCTCGTACTTTATATTTCTTTTGACTGCATTCACTTATCTTCATCCTTCACCTCACTACCTTTTTACTTGATGTGCTGATATGAGGTGTGGCAACTCGGACCGTTACGCAGTAATGCCTGGTCCTATGTTGATAATGATGATGATATTATGAGAACGTTTATTCACAGTATCTTCAGTGTTCACTCTTCCAATGCAATTTTGATAGTTAGACTGAGTAAAAAAGTATAAACCTAGGCTGTTGTACTTTACGATGGCATAGAAATGCAAAGAGAGTCTGCGCTTTGTTACACAATTCAAAGTATACCACTGTAGAGTTATTGGTGGTATATATTGGTTTAAGGAGTTGACTTTCAACTATTCCCGTCTCAATTTCAAGCCTTACTCCATCTGCCAAGATTTAGGCAACCAGGTAGATGTTTAGTTCATTGCCTACTGCATGAATGGTGAATGAGCTCCAATTTTATTCAACACCACTGTTACCTTCAATCTTAAAGAAGTTTTAATCGAATCGTCTGCCAAAAACCTGAATTCATATACATCGTTGTCAACTGTGAAAAGCAAGGCTACACAAAATCAATGTTATGGTGTTTAAGTAAAAATCTGCTTATCTAGTAGTTCATTTGTGACAAACGGGTTATTTCATTCAAAATATAAAAACATTCCTGATTTAAGAAAAATATAACTTGATTTCTTAGTCTCATGAGTATGGTTAGCTTCTTTGCTGATTTAACTAACCTTTTTATTATTACCTCATACTAAATGGACAGCAGTAAACTGCCAGTTTAGTGGTAGACAGTGGATTGATTGAATGCGCCAACCGCTTCACTTACTTGAGAGGAGTTTCATCAACCTGAACATGCTGATTGCTGACTACATCTCACTTCGGGTATAGAAGACCCGTTTGGCATTTACTAACTTGTGTCATCTATGAAACCGACTAGCGAGGTGTGTCCGGTTATCTATCAGAAAACGAGTATACTGCGCTACAATCCATTGTCTCCTGTTATACATAGCCGTTAAAAAGTAAGACATGAAGCGGTTACAGCTTTTCGATCACAGGTGTCTTTGTGGCAGTAGTGTCGTTTGATAAAATCACTATATGTGGGGTATCAAAGCCAGGTCAGTCTGTAAGGTTATAGGCGTTCATCAATCGAGGTGGCTTAGACATATGTTGGATATATGGAGCCACTGCCTACCTTGACGTGCTATATTAGAGGAAGTTGGATTCGATTGGAATAGGGCTCAGGGTAGCCAAGACGTGGCACTAGTCGATGAAGTCTCTAGACCATCCGTTTGTTTTATGTGGAGCAAATTACCTGACTACAGTCCGCGAGATGATAAGAATCAAATGTAATTCATTATATTCGCATAAATGTGTGTATATTCTACTAACCTTGTATCTTTACACTTTTATTGTATACTTTTCGTGAACTTTTGAATGTCTACAGAATTCATACTTCCACCGAGAATTCATTTATGTAATCTTCCAAATGAATTATTTGTAAGTTGTGGATTTAAAATTATTTTTTTTATTAATGTACTTTTGAGGTGAATAAGAACTTTACTTTTTAAGGTTAGTATTCATCACAAGCTCGTATGAGTTGGAAAATCATTGAAAACCTGAGAGAAGTACTAGACATCTATTGAGACTCCTCAGTGGTATATACTCCCTCCCTCCCTCCCCCCCCCCCCGACTAATAGGGTGTTCAAACTTAGAAACTTCAGATTTCACGATAAATGCATTACTGGTCCACGGGAATCACTTTTCATCGATATTGTGTATGTACAATAGCATAATTCTTTGTGTGAAAAGTATACCACCCAGAAAACTTCTCTCTCATTGCTTATTAAACTGTTTGTCATTCTGTCCATGCTTTTATGATTTAGATTTATAGGCTGAAAACCAAAGGGTACTAGAAAGTTGTTTTTCTCCTCTCTAGTTTATACCATCTTAGAGTACCACGTATCTTTAATGTTGTACAAAAAGTTGAATGTAGATCAAATCTGATCAAATGTTTTAAAGTGAAAGATTATCGTTACCATAGAAATTACCTTAGTTAAATGAGCGGGATCTATTCAATTTGGCTAGTGAAGGCAATCAGAAGTAAAGTGCTTGTGACCTAAGATTTATGTTTATTGAATGTAATGACAAAAATATATGTTCTTGGATGGCTCCAATGATAACGCCCCTTTATGCTATGCTATATATGCTGCACGTCTGAATCTCTCTAGGCTTCGATTCGCTTATCTACAGCATCATTCGGGTTAGTGTACTAAGATTGAAGCAAATATGGTAATTGAGTGCTAACAGGTGGAAAACTCAGTTTAGATAAAATTTCTTTTCGATTAGTAGCTCTAATTGAAAGTTTATGTCTATCATCTGTGTTACGACGTTGTCTGACTGTAAATTTTTGATTCACGTGATTCAGCTTACTCAATCTTAACACTGACCTTGAACGTGATTGATCTTGTATGTACACTTACCTAATCTTGTATAAACTCAATTCACTCATACGATGACTCACACAATTCGGCCTTCTCAACTGGGCAGATTTTAAACGATCTGATTCATCTGTATGTATAACTAAATTACTTGACCATAACGCACTAGGAATAATTTATAAAGATGAGACAAGCAACTTCAAAGCATTAGAAAAATGTACAGTAATGTATAATAATGGATGGATTTCACTCAACAAACCACTATTTCGTTCTGAGATATAAGTTATTGCATGGATGACTGAGGAGTCAGTTAAAAGCTTTTGAATCGAGCTATGCAATAATGTTATCAATTAGGTCATAAGTAGTAAAATGGCTTTTAAAATAAAGAAAATGTGACCATTGACAATCAACACTCTACCTTAACTTCATCGACTTTGTAAAGGCCTTCGACAGCGTCAACCGAGAAGTAATTTGGCAGGCAGCTACCTCAACACTACAGTTTTAGTGCCACAAACTTTTATCAACCTCACTCAACAGCTATATGCCTTATGATGATGAAACATGCCGACTGATTCACAATGAAAAGCTCAGCGACGCCTTCAAAGTGAAGATAGGGTTAAGACAAGGCATTCTACTGTCACCCATGATCTTCCTGATTCTGGTCGACTGGATCATGCAGCAAACCGTGAGGAGAGAGAAGATGGGCATACGCTGGTTAGACCAATTAAAAGACTTCAGAAGAAGATTTGGATTTCGCCATTGATTTATGTCTAGTATCGCAAAACCTCGAAGATCTGCAGGTGAAAAATAACAAGCCAACAGAAGAGGAGGTGAGGTGAGGTGAGGCAGCGAAGACAGGACTTCAAGTGAACGTAGAGAAGGAAGAGGTGATGAAGACACCCAACCAACAACAACAATAACAACCACCAATCACCATCAACGGGAGAAACCTAGAGGAAGTTGTCTCTTTCACATACTTGGGTAAGGCAGCATCAGTTCAAATACAGGCAGCGGAGGTGGCACAGATGAGGATATCAAAGACAGGATAGGAAAAGCAAGCAGGACAGGCTCTCATTAACCTGAAATCAGAGTGGAGATCTACTGCACTCACCATGAACAACATGAACCGTGAACAACATCTGGATTTTCAACACCAACGTCAGTCAAGTCAGTGCTTCAATGTGATGATTCAGAAACTTGACGTGTCCTGGAAAGCATTTCCAACAAACTGTAGACATTCATCATCAGCTGCTGCCTATGCTAGCTCAATACTGAAGATGAGATGGCCAGAATAGAATAATAAGAACAAGCAACCAGGAACTCTGGCTGGCTGGCTGTCAACGAACCAACTGACCAACAACCCATCTCCTAACAAATATGCAGTAGAAGAAAGTGGAGATGGATTGTATTGGGCATACACTGAGAAGGCCGACTGGGGACATGATGTGCCAGATCAGGCCGTCGAATGTAATCCACAGGGGAAACGACGAGTTGGGTGTCTGTGCGAGGCTGACATGGAGGAGATGGTTTGAGGAAGAGATGAAAGCTTGTGGGCAGTGGTGGATTCAGGTTGAGAAGACTGAATCCCTATGTTCCATTAGGAACTCAAGGGAAAGATAAATAATAATTATAATAATATTGACACTTATCGGTCCAGTTTATTTCAATATGAATGTATCTTTCTTCTTTTAATTGATTTCTATTCAGTGTCAAATATTGTCTAGTTTACCTTTAAGAGCACTTGGTTCACTTATGTTCTGTAATCATCAACTCTACAATCGTATACGTGGTTGTAGTACAATATGGCGTATTCATCTGGCTAATATAGACGCTAAAAAGAAGCTGGTACTTGATGCAGCTTTGAGTAGACAACAAAGACAGTTGAAACAATTACAAGATCAACAGCAGCGATATGAACAACAGCATACTTCAAATGATGAAAATCAAGAGGATAGGAATGAATTCGGTTCTATTGTGAATAAGGAAAGTGTTTCAGTCGTTAACGATAAGGGTAATTTTATTCTACATTGTAGCTTCTATTTGAGGTGATTGTTGTGCGTATAATTATGACCGTTTTCGGAAAAATTCATTGTATAACAACTGATTGACTGTTATTGATGGATCGTGGCTAGCAGTAGAATCCAGGATGCCCATTTCGTGGATAACGCGCTGGCGTTCGAAGAAACCGCTCCCGAGTCCGAATCCCAGTGGGAACAACACTCACTGGGAAGCAAGTACATCCAGCTGACGAGTCCCAAATAGGATGAAATGCGCATCCTGGATTCCATTGCTAGCCACTATTATCACTAACATAATTGGAACACTGGCAATATCGAGGCATCCGCACAGGAGCCCATATGCCAATGTAGAGACCGATCAATTCGGCCTAATCAACGACGGTATCATATAAAAACAATTATACTGATTATCTGTCAGTTATTTTAAACTATTTTAATTGATCTAAAGGTTTTCTTCATGATGTCTAGGGAGTAAAAACTATTTTACTGATGTAATGAATGTTGGTTGTTGACCACTAGTATTATTTAGTTAGTTGCAACGGCATTGGAGTAGTTCCCGTGGAAAATCATAGTTATGAAGTTTGTGAACTTGTTTGTGTCGGTGTATATTAGGTCTCGTTGGTTAGTTGGTAGAGAGCATAGGGTCGGTAACTCAAGAGGTTGCTGGTTAAAATCCTACTGCGGCCCATATTTTCATTCCACCTTCAATTATTGCTCAGTATCAGTAATGAAAGTCTACCAGACCACGGTTATCTCATTTAGTCAAACTGATAATCAACCTATATTTTATCAACTCAAACAGTCTATTTTCTTTTCAAGTTGGTATTCATCATGGAATGACATTCGTTGAAGTAATATTGGAAACCTAGGAGCACTGGAAAGCTGTTTCATCCCAGTATGGAACTCAGCAGTTCGCCACCATGACCCCATCCCACCAGAGATCAAACCCAAGGCCTTCATGTTCCGTGGCCAGCACGTTATCTTTGAGGCACTGGGTCGGAATCCAATGATCCATATTTCCTAGTTCTGTTAGTTCATGAGTAACTGTCCTCATGTCAGACTTGGTTGACTCCACTGGTCATGAGTTCTCATCAGAACTTCAGGAATCACCTTTCGAACCTAGTCATCAATGAGCGCTATATCAATTGAATTTGTGGGTTTGTGGAGATTTAGTGATTTTTCAAGTTGGTATTCATCATGGAGTGATATCAGTTAGATGAACACTGGAAACCTGGGAGCACTGGACAGTTGTTTCTTCCTAGTATGAGACTCCTCAACAGTGCGCACCCATAACCCCATCCCACCAGGGGTCGAACCCAGGACCTTTGTATTCCATGGATAAATACTCAACGATAACATTGAGCGATGATCGCGCTGTGTCGTGAACTGATAGAAATAGGAATATGAACCATTTGATCCCGACGTAGTGCCTCATTGATAACGTGCTGGCCACGGAACCTGAAGGTTCCGGGTTCGACCCCTAGCTGAACGGGGCCGTGGGTGTCTACTACTGCAGAGTCCCATACTAGGGCGAAACAGCTATGCAGTGCTCCCAAGTTTCCTATGTTCTTCCAGTTGATATCAGTTCATGATGAATACCGACTTGAAAAATCACTAAATCCCCACAAACCCCCAAATTTAGACAGTTTATGACTAATATGTAAAATAGGAAGGAATTTTTCAGTATAAATGTGATTGAGACAGTCACATTTGATGAACTGCGGATAGTTAACCTTCATTTCTCTGCGATCGTTGATAGTCTATTTTACACAGTGATTAACTTGCTTTTCAATGAATATTATTGATGTGACTGAGTTGGAGTATGACGTGGGTTTTAATAATAACGCAACGAGATACTTGGACTAGATACGAGTAATACGACTGTTCTCCCCCACACCGCATACTTCACTGAGCCGCGAAAATCAGAAGACATAAGACGGCCTATGACTGCAGAACAACAGCAACTCTGAAACAATTAATCCCTTTAATAAATTTCTTCCCTCCGGCACAAGAGTATACCAAGAAATGCAAGTTTGTGGTCTTTTTCTTCTTCATCAGTCTGACATGTGCGGAAGAAAAAGACGATCAATATATAGGAAGTCTACTTGGACAGAACAGTATTTGAGTTTCTACAATTTTTGTCCGACGAAATATAAGAGAGGCTTAGTAAGATGCCTGTTCAATAGAATCCAACGTATTTGTACATCTGATACCGATGGATGATTAGAATAAATTTCTAATAGACACTCTAATGGAAAACGGTTATCCATTACAGTATGTCGACCGTTGTAAAAAAACAGCTGACCCCGAAGCCTATAGTTTCCTCGGTCCCGAAGAAAGACATATTTCTTAAAGTATTATATAGAGGGGAGTATGATACTGTAGTCCATCTTGCTTTGTCTTAATATAAGTGTAAAACTTGGGCCCTGTAGCAGAATGTAATCCCGTATTAGATTTTTTTATATAGCTAGCACACAGTGATACAGTATTATTTACTTGATGACGTTTCAAGCGTAAATTATTCCTCATAACCATTACTTTCGACAGATATCAAAGGATACTAGATCCTTAAGCTTTGGTCACATGCTATTCAACTCGATTCCCCTTCTATCTCACTGGTCACCTCTATGATTCTTTCAATCTATGGCAAAAACATACGGTGAGCAATGTGACATCCACTGGGATGATATACGTGACACTATATCTAAGCTAATGTAGCCTGTTTTTCAAGATTACTTCACTCATTAGATGATTATTTCTATGACGCCTAAATACCTCAGAATTCTTTGCATGATGTTTCATCAAACCTATCGAAACCTTATAACTAGTCTTCGAAGTCCCCATCATCGCTTTCATATTAGAGCGAATACCAACTGAAGACCTTAGTGGATAAGTCGTACTATATCGCGAACTGATGGGAGTATGGATCAATGAACTCTGACCCGGTGGTACAATATTTATCGCGTTCGCCTTGAGACTTGGGATTATATGAATCCAAATCCTAGCAGGCGAGGTTATGTGTGCGTACTGCTGAGGTGTTCCGTACTAAGATGAAACAAATGTCTAGGCACTGTTTCTTTGTGGAAGTTATCAGTTCTATTCATTCATGCCTACTATACTTTGGGAGATGTCTAATCCCTCCTTTCTGTTTACTATGAAGGATATAAAGAAGTGTGTAAATTTTCGGCCACGATCTTCTTGTTTCCCTAACTTGAATAAACCCTTTGTTGAAGATAGTAACCACCATGAATTGACACCAGTTACACAGAACTATTGAAACTCCGGAAGCACTGGATATCTGTTCAGTTCTAGCATGGAACTCCTCAGCAGAATGACCTCATGAGGGGTCAAACTCAGCACCTTCATGTTAGAACCTAATTATCCACATCTTCCTACTTCTGTCAACTAGCGACTTTGACATATGCCAAATATCTCACTGTTATTATACCGTTGTCTACTATTTATATCACGTTATCGGGATACTTGTAAAGAAAACTAACTATCTGTACCAACTCTGAACAATGGTAGTCTGGAAGTCTAACATGTTATTCATCCTCCTGGAAGGAATTCTCCTCCTAGCAAATTCGAAACCTTGATTTGTCATATATTTAAGTTTCCTTTACATCTTACGCCAAGAATATACCATGTACATATTATCATGCGGTTGTGAAATGAGTTTTTCTCATTTTCCTAGACCACCTGTGTCTCAGTATAGTGTGTTCAGAACCTGTCCGTAAATATTATGCATTTATCAATAGCCTACTCCTAAGTAGTGTAAGTTAAAAAAAGATAATTTTGTATGGTGTAAAATCATAGAATCTCATTTTCGCTTCACTACATGTTATTTTTTTGTTTGTGAAATCAATAAAGCTTCATCTACTTCGCCTTCCACTCCGAATGACTCTGATTACACAATCATTAATCAACCCAGAGAATATGAAGCATATGAGGTGAGTTGCCTGTTTAACTAAAGTATGATTAAATTTTGAGGGGGTTGTGGAGATTTGGAAATATTTCAAGTTGTTATTCATCGAAGACTGACATCAGTTGGAGGATAACAACTTGAAATATTTCCAAATCTCCACAACCCCCTCAAAATTTAATTGAACTAGTGCTCGTTGGTGACTAGCTTCGAGAAGTATTCCCGAAGTTCCAATGAGAAGTCGTGACCGGTGGAGTCAAAGCCTGATGGCCATGAGGACAAATACTCAGCGATGACATTGGGTGGTGGTTGCGCTATATATCGTGAGCTAACAGAAGTTGGAAATATGGAGCATTGGATTGTGACCCAGTGGCTGGATGGTAACGCGCTGGTCGCGGAACGTGAAGGTCGTGGGTTCGATCCCTGCTGGTGGGGTGGTGGGTGCGCACTGCTGAGAAGTCCCATACTAGGACGAAACAGCTGTCGAGTGCTCCCAGGTTTCCTTTGTTCCTCCAACTGATGTCAGTCTTCGATGGATAACAACTTAAAGTATGATTGATTATTTCGAGATTAGAAATAGCTTAAGTGGATTTTTATCCCACCACTTTAGCGTGTTGGTTGCATGCCTGTTCTATCAGTAATCTATTCATTCAAAGGATACCATCCTAACAGCACTAGTGAATATAAGGAGACTGTGATTTAACGCTTATAAGTGTAATCGGTGATTGGTTCTCCATGCAGATGTATTAAAACTCTGGTCATTCTTTTGTATAATACTTGGTAATATGTTTATAATTACTCTAGTATATCAGTTAGTTGACAATATAAAGTGTAGAGAATTGTTGTTGTATAAGATTTTTAATCGTCTTCAATAAAATAATGGATAGTGGCTAGCAGTGGAATGCTCGTTTCGTCTTATCTAAGACACATCAGCTGAATGCATCTGGCTCCCAGTGAGCTATGTTGTTCCCACTAAAACTTGAAACTGAGATCGATCTCTTGAAACACCAAAACATCATCCTCTGGGCCACTGAGTTATGATAGCCACTTGGAATTCCACTCTTGGAAAGTACGTTGTCCTTTTAGGTGAAGACGCCGACAAGATGCAGAGTCTTCTGAACACTTTGAATGGGAATTTGAGAATGTTTGGGATGCGGTTCTCACAACTCAAATGCAAATTGTTGCTCCAGGACTGGTCTTCAGTGGTACCACGGCTAACAATAGAGAGTGAAGTGGTTGAGTGTGTCGACCACTTCACTTTCCTGGGAAGTAGGATCAACCCCGGTGGGTCAGTTGCCGATGAAATCTCTGCACGGATACAAAAGGCTTGACTGGCTTTTGTCAGTTTACGCCATCTTTAGCGCCGGCGTGATATGCGTTTGTCTATAAGGGTCGCGTGTACTGCACAACAGTCCGGTCTGTTCTACTGCATGGCTGTGAAATATGGCCATTGAAAGTGGAGGATATGAGAAGGCTTCAAGTGTTTGACCACCGTTGTCTTCGTAGTACAGGCCGTATTCCATGGTGCCACCACTTGAGCAATGCAGAAGTCAGGTGCAGAGTTTTAGGGAGTAGAGGTAAATCAGTTGACAAGGTTATGAGACGGTTGGGACACGTACTACGTGTGCCTAGTCACCGATTGCCTCGTCACCTAATGTTGGCCGAAGTAGGTCCAGGGTGGAAAAAGGCTCGAGGTGGCCAGACTAAAACATGGCACCAATGTATGAAGTCTCTGACTGTTGGTTTGAGCTATGTGGGGCGATGCAGACTAGGTGGTTGGGGTCCGCTGGACAAGAGGAACCCGTGGTTGGAGACTCTAGGTGATATGGCTGAGAACCGAAGTCAGTGGCGCAGATGTATACACACATTATCCTCATCTTAACGAGGCTATACCGAATCTCACTATTTTGTCACTCCTCTTTCCTTTCTTCTCGTACTTTATATTTCGTTTGACTGCATTCTCTTATCTTCATCCTTCACCTCACTACCTTTTTACTTGATGTATTGTTATGAGGTGTAGCAACTTGGAGTGTTACGCAGTAATGCCTGGTCCTATGTTGGTATTGATGATGATGATGACATTGTTTCTTTGATGAAGTTTCATTTAGGTATATGTAAAGGATCATTGCATTTCCTGTCAATGGTATACAGTATATTACCGAGAGACAAGACTATTTAATCATATGCTGAAGATAATGCAAAGGGTTACATATGTGTTGAAAGCATCATACTCCTCCATTTCTGATAATACCTAATCTTTAGCAGGTGTGAATAACTTCCTTTTCTATTAATTGGTCTATTCTGATAAATTTTATCTTTCACCTTCTATTTTCTATTAATCTCATTAATGTTAGCGTTTCTTGGCTCGTCAGAAATGTCTATCCATGCAAAGACGGTGAGTTAACTCATTGAAAAGATAGTGTTTTTTCTTCATTCCGATGGTTGAAATTAGCCTCAGACACTTAACCTTGTTGTTAACCTGCTATATCCTTTCAGTCACTTAATATAACCGAAATTAAATACATATATGAGAGTGATGAGTCTTGAACGATTACCTTCAGACCTCACGCTTGATAATTGCTCGGTTCCTCGGTCAATGAAAAAGGCGGCAAGCTAACAGAAAGTGTATTACATCGTCAGAATATGTAGAAAATGTAATGGTTTATATACTTTTACAATGGCCTTGACTAATTCTAGGCCTTTCTGGTTTAGAATATCCCATTGGTTTTTGTCTTTTTAACCAATCTGATACTTACACGTTGTTTCTTCGGTACAATATGATTGGTTATAGAAAACTTCAGGGAATTAGGGCTTTTTATGCAGATTATAGCAATGTTAATCAATAATACAGAAAGTTGCCTTTTGTGAAATAAGCAGATATTGAGTTATGATTGATAGTGAAATGATAGTCTGACCTGTAGCAAAATTGAAGCCAGCCAGCCACTCTTGGGTTTGAATCCTACCGCGGTTTAAATTCTCATTTCACCTTCAATCATCACCCAATATCAATAATACAAATCTGACAGGCCACGATTATCTTATATTATGAAACTGATAAAATAAGTAGATGGCGAGTGGTGTATAGGTAAAGATGGAGTCTACGGTTTTATATCTTATACTCCATTCCATAATTGTGCAGTCATAGCCGTTAATTAGTGTGAACTGTATACCAAAGCTTCATCAGAAGAAACTTGGGTGCTGACAGAGTTGTGAGGGTGGTTGACACTTCCCGGCTGCCCACACCGTGGAAGGCTATTTCTTCTTAAAGTACCTGAAAGAGATTTGTGTGACCATAGAGCCCATCGGACATCTGCTTGAGGCCTGTCATACCCAGCCTTTTGAGTATGATTGTTTTGAACTTTTGTATTTTCGGGGCCGGATGGTCGAAAGGAGACGACAAGTGAACCAATGCCGCCGGCCCGGCAGACCGTGGGGCGTGGTGGAGTGTGTTATTTTTGGTGCCGACCTTTTCTAACCCCCCCTTCCACTGAGAAGGCAGCATCAGCATAGCACTGCCGGTCATCCAAGGGAAACACCTTACTGCTGTCACACCCCATCCAGCTAGCAGCAGTACGACTTCGCCCTTAGACCCCCATCATAGTGTAGCATTTACACTATAACGGTAACTGATTTTCGTCTAACCACTATCCAACAGACCTTTCTGGTATGGTAGGACCTCAGGGAACAAGCGTTCCACCAGCATAACTCGTTGGGTCATTGTGATATGCAAGCCCGACCACCACGTCAAGGTAGCAGCTATCGGTCGGGACCAAAGCTTGTAATTATCACTTTGTAGATGTGAAGTTGGAGTACTTCTATTCGAAAAGTGATTACTGTTGTGATATGTACGTGTTTTGACTGCTTCCCCTAGATGTAAGTGACAGAAGAAATAGTGCAAATACCCATGAACTTCAAATTATTTCATTGTCTCCCATAGAAAAATGTTTCAAAGAAAAGATCTTCGCCGCCACAATGATATACAGAGTAGTGGAATAAAAAACCGCGACATAATTCACAGGAAAATAGTGATGATGAGTATGCCCTGTGTATGTGTGTAGATGACATTCTGAATACATCAATCGATCAATCAGTCCAACTGTTGATCTTCAGTATTCACAACTGATCGACGAAGTACACGGGGAACTCATGATACATCTATGTGGATGTTTTAGGAACAAGATAATTGAAGGCGGAAAAGTTACATATTTCTTTCATTTCTTTTTCAAAGTCTAATCTTCATGTGAAGCTGTAGTGGGGGGAGGGGTTGTGATAACAATGGATATAAGTAGTATATGTTGAGAGGGCAACAGAAATCATAGGGAATTCTTCCCAGAGAAACGCAAGTGACAATGTGAGCGTATTAAGAGCAAATCAAGATAGAAGCAGAAGAGGAAATGAAGTACATTGTTCAAATAACTGTTTAGTGAAAAGTGTCTTATCGTTTCCTACAATACCTTTCCAATGTAGTTCGAACGCAACTATTTCTCCATAATTCCCCATTGATATGGTTTTTTTTATAAACTTTGTTTTATTAATATGATGTATCTCTTAACTATCTCCAGTGATACTGTTATGTCATTGTCTGGCTGTCTTAAACATTGTGGTCCAGCTTATTCAGTCTTAACCCTGACCTTGAGCATGATGATTGGTCTCCAATATATCTGTCCAGTCTTGTATTACTCAACTCATTGACACGCGATAAGTCATGTGATACTGACTTTCCAACTGTTAAGAAGAGAACATAAGGTCTACTACTTATTGTTTGAATACAGTTTAAAGGATCTGATCTGTATGCACGATACAACTAAATTACTTGACTACAACGCACCACAATATTTATAAAAGATAAAGAGCCAATTTGAAGCATAAAATATCGGATGATAATATACTTTAATGGATTTCACTCAATATGCACTTGTTTGTGAAATATAGGTTATACGGATACGAATGAGGGATTAGTCGAAAGTTATTGATCCAAGCTATCCAATACTGCTACCAATCAGGTTCATGAGTTAAATGACTTTTCGACTAACACAACAGATACAGATTCTATTCTAAATCCTACTGGGAATATGGTCTGTAGAGCAATTTCTGACTATTATATGCGATATCCATTCTCCTTTGGTCACAAGTTTCAACTGACTATAAAAGGTGTGTCCATATATTGAGTATCATCGTTAGTAGTGCGCTTTTAGAAAGATATCAGTGTACTTGTGCAGTTTGTGGCTTTTCTATCCTATCAGATACTTATTGTTATTTATACTGGGTTATGATTGAAGATGAAACGAAAATTTGGACCTCAGCCGGATTCGAACCAGCGACTACCGAGTTACCGGCCTTAGCTACGAGGTCCGACTACTGATCACATCTTCATCTCACCTTCAATCATCACACAGTATAAATACTAGTCTACCAAACTACGGCTGGCCATCACAGATAGTCAAATGATAACTTACTGTTATGTCACACATATATGTGTGTTTCATGATTACACTGAGTGTTCTCTACTTTAATCAAGCTATTTTCATACAAGAGCTTGTTTTCACCAGCATCTTTTCCAATTTACAACGTTGAATAATTGTCAAGAGTTTATTTCCTATCAATAATCGATGCAAACCGAAGTCTACTGAGTCTTAAGATCTATATTCACATTATACAACTTCATGATCTATGTTGATAGAGAGATTTGTGAATTATCAGATACCATTATGTCTATGCTTCTCTCTCTTGTCTCTTTCTGAAGATGATGAGAATAAAAACTTCATCATCATAACATGAATCCATGTAATTCATGGAATCTATGAGTTTGACTGACTCTTATCTAGTTTATGCATTGAGGTTCATCTAGTGAAATAGGCAAATGCAAGACTGGACAGTTCACCTACGGTGTTCACATTCGTATACCAGCCGTAAAGCTGTTTAATATCTATGTTGTGCTACTAGAAAATTCTATTAAGTAGTATATTTTAATTTGCATAATTTTACGCATTAATCCTTCTCTATTGTTTCATAGGAATTGTAGAATAAGCCGTAATTTTACATAGTCTGGCAGGAAGCCGGGAGAATTGGCGTTATTCAAGAAGGAGTGACTCTACTGCGATCATGTTCTTCACTTCAACCTAATTTCTTCTTTGAAAAGCAGTTGTGTGTATACATAACGCCCTGAGTAGGTAGGTGAGTTGTATTCACTCCTATTGCCTGGCATCATTCTCTTCATGCACATTTCTCTATATACACATAGATCCTTATGTGAACATTCCACTAATGTTGTACACTCATGTGTCTGATGATATAATAATTCGTTTGCTTCACTTCTCTATCTCCGTCTTCTGCTGTTTTTCTTTCTTGACGAAATCTTAGTCGATTGTTGTCACGTGCATGTGTGTTGAACTTCTCTTTTTTTCACAAGTGACTCTTATTCGCCAGAAATGATCCACACAATTACTGCTGCCTCTTCTTTTCTATTACACCTTGGAGATGGAAGACAAAGAAGCGGAATAGATTCATTTACTTGTATGTTATTTCCATTGAATTCATATGTGAATAAATATTTGTGAAGTACGTGGTGGCTGGTTGGCTGGCTGATTCTTTTCTTGTTTGCTAAACTGTTCCTCTGATTGGTGGTTGAGTTTCAGTGGGGCAGTTGGCATAGTTGCGCGTGTGGAAGCAGTCTAGTTGGATAGTTGTTACTGATGTGGCGGGGTTACTGTTGCTGTTGTAATAGGTATATGATTTGCATGTTTTCAAGTTGGTGGGCTTGTTGATTGTATTGGGAGAAAGCAACATTCAACAAAATGAGAGTTCTGAAAGAATAATGGAGTGTTATTCGGCTTAGTTTTCAGTCATATCACGTGTCGTTTATAGGGTTATATGTAGTACTGTAAGCTTGCAGGCGGTTGACGCTTCGGGGATACCCACACCACCGTGGAAGGCTATTTCTTCTTAGTGTACCTGAAAGAGAAGACGATTTGTGTGACCACGGAGCCTATTTGACATCTTCTTAAGGCTATTGAGGATATTTGGTGTGAGATTTGACTGTTGTAACGCCGCATAGAGAAAACCCATACCATCGACACCGGGAGAACGATGGGTAGGGAGGAGTGTACCACTTTGGGTCCAACCTTTTATAATCCTCCTCCTATCTCATAGAGGAAGCAGCATCAGCGTGACGCTGCTGGTTATCCACGAGAAACACCTTACTCTTATGATACACCATTCCACCGGTAGTACGACTTCACCCTTGGACCCACACTTAGTGTAGCGATTTATACTACAATGATGACTATCCAATAAATCTTTCTGAGATGATAGTACTTCGAGGGAACAGGCGTTCTAGCCAGTGTAGCTCTTCGGGTCATTGTAATGTGCAAGTCCAACCGCCAAGTCGAGGTAGCAGGTATCGGTCACGATTGTCTACAACTAACAAGGCGAATGGTCTGTATGACTGCAGTCAAAAGTGTGCAGATTCCTTGATGGTAAATATTCATGATCAGTGGATTTAATTTTTGTTATTGACTTGATAGCTCTGAAGCATCCTAGTTGAAATCATACCCAAGCATGTTTTTCATCCCTTTTTGTAATGCATTTATGCTCATGTTACAACGATTGAATAGGTTTATCTCTTCTCATGAGCTATATCATACAGCCACACTTATCAACATATCAGATGTTCAGTTAGTCTAAATGGCGAAAAATCTGCCTACTCAAGGTATATTCCATTTACTGTGTTCAGTGGATAGTACATCCTTACGTATTCTTACAAGAGAGGTTTAGTGGGACGTTATACCATGATGCGAGAAGAGTTTCAACCAGTCGACCAATGTTTGCACAATAATTGTTATCCGATGAAGTCCCTTCAAAAGTACTGCAAAAATAAGTAGAAGAGAGCGAGATGTACTACTATTCAGAAGAAATAAGCTTTTCTTACTTCTGTTTCCAAGGGAGATGATATTGCTACCAGAATCAGCAGACAAATTAGGAAGGCACTGTCCACGATACCTATCCGGCTACAAGACTTGTCTCATTGTATCAAACAACGTTTACAATTATGAAATCCAAATTAAATAAAGTCCCAATTCTTGTTAACTGCAAAGGTGTTTGTCAATTCACATGTGAATACCATAGCTAGTAGGTAGGAAGAACAGAGAGGGGGTTGTCTACTACGACTGCCGAACATATACCAAAGAGTCTACATCTCAGAGGTTGATCCTCGTTCAACAGTGCAACTGCTCGTCTCTTATTTGATGCAATGTAATCCTTCTTAGTAATCAGCAGACAAATGACCTCGTTAGCACCTATTTCGAATCACCATAGCCATCACTATCCTATGACTTCAATTGGGACTCTGTGTATTCAGAAAAAGACAGTTATTAGTTTCTTATTACCCTGGTAATTAGTGACTTTTCACCCTCTCATCTTTCCAAAAAATCGTTCTGTTACGTGAATTTTGTGCATATTCATATTGATTATCGTTTCATTATTACCGTATTCGTAATTATCACGATAGTTTTATCTCACTCACTTATCATTGGATTATGATCGATAGGATTCGGTCTGCACTCATGACTAGACAGCATGAAATTGGTTGCACTCCCGTCACTAATCAATACATGTAAGCCAGTCCTACAGGAGGTCAATCGCGGCCCGAAGAGCTCAGTGTTAAAGTTGCTGACTACAACACTGGGTGACGTGGGTTCGAACCTCAGGTGGGACATCAGTTCCGTCGAGGTTGCAGATATGCCTTGCTGACGAGTGCCAAAAAGCACGAAACCTAGGTCCAGGGATTCCTGCCGATTGGCTCCAACCAACTAATATCTTCGGATTAAGATGGCATCTTCACATGGTTATGCAACACCTCCTACTTACTTCTAGTTTCATCTCAGTCGCTGGTGAACATTCCTCACCTTGCCACATATAACCCTTGTGTAGTTTGACTGAATTGACTACCTGAACTTCCTTGTGTCTTGAATTACTATGTCTTATCTTTAAAACACTAACCAGTATCTTAAAACATTCCACATAAGGTATTTTAATAATTGTTATAGCGATTGTTTACTTATATATTCAAGTTTTATGCGGCTGAAGAAAGTCCCATGAAATAAATGACTTCATCTTGTCCTGAAAACGATGTTCCCATAGCATTATTCATATCATAATTGCCTCTGAATGTGAATATACTTGGTTGGTTTTAAATGCTTAACTGGCATGTGGACAGTAAGAAGTACTGATGAAGTTGCCGTAGCCAGGAGATGGAGAATATACATGGAAAACACCAAACAGCTATTATCATCATCCTGAGCGACAAATCTTCACTTTCTCAAAAATATGTTGTGTAAATAAGTAGAGAAATTTTGGTGCATGATAATACTCACTCAACTTTCAAATAACTGAGCTCAAGTTCAATAAATGTTAGATTTCACACAATCTGTGTAGCTCATAACTCAATGCATGGTTTATAATTGGTTTCTGGTTGCATTATCTTAAGTACCCACTGGGGATTAATAACAGAAACCATGGGTTCCGTTACTAACGATCACCAAGTAGATCACATCAAAACTATTCGTATTTTTGAGAAGATCATCTCACCTAGCAAAGCATTATTCTCTAATCTATACTACTAGCTGGCATATTGAGTGAGTAGTATACTACCTGTAAATCCAGCTCAATACCATTACTCGCATATTCTACTTAGTAATTGTTTTGCTACTGAATGTTAATAAGTAGTGTGATTGTAAATGCTGAAGCACGATTTTCCTTCGTAATGGAAGCCATGTGATGTAAAGCAATACATTTTCCATAGGGCTATAAACCGTTGTTGTTAATTAGCGAAAATAAAGTTTCGAAAAGTAAAAACTAATTCTTTTCCCACAACGTGTACACATCTTCATTACAAGTTGTTCTCTGTGAAATGAGCAATTTTGAGATACGTTTAAACTAAAATTAATTTTCACATTAACGAGGGGTAATAACTAGCACTGAAATTGAGAACGTGTGTTTCGTTCTATTTGAGACTCGTCAGCTGATCAAGCTAGTCGATCTACGAGGTAGATTCGAAAGCTTTCATACAACGAGTGGTCGTTCTGACTCATTGGCCTAGTGGAAAACGCTGGCGTGTGAAGCGATCGGTCTTGAGTTCGAATCCTAGGGGGAACAACATTGACTATGAGACAGGTACATCCAGCTGACAACTCTTAAATGGGACTAGGCCATGTGTGCTGGATCCCACTACCAGGTACTATCCATGGTTCATATCAGGTTTCAAAATACCGAAAATATCGAGGCATCCGCACAGCTGCCGATCGAATCTATCCATTCAACGACGGAGATTCACAAGCTATACCAACAAAGACACTGTGTATCACTGAATGCTTAAAATGATAAAATCGATGGAATGTGTATAATCGTTGATTCAATCAATCAATCAATCACTTATCATACCACAATTTTCATGCATAAATGTATTTTATGTATAATTTTGTGATGCCTTTGATTTTCTCACTTATTATTTCATATCCTTAATATATTTTACTACTTTATCAAATTTGCATATAATTACTCCACTAGAGAATGAATCGAACCAGTCAAATCAGATAAACATTCATATTCACTTACTGATTTCTCTATTGATTTACCACTCACTACCTTGTGTTTTGCAATGGAATGGAATGACCTTTACTTCACTTTGTACTGTACTTTGTTGTGAGTTGACTGTTAGTCATTTATTCATTTAAATTGTGGTTTAGTTGAATATGGTTGAAAGTGTATTCAACTCACTGGTGATTAAGACCAGCAGTCAGCTATTACTACTACTACTACTACTACTACTACTACTCACGCTACTACTACTATTCACCTTGCCTAGTTTACTAGTTCACTAGCCGGTTCTAAACCCGGATAAAGAGGGAAGGTTGGGAATACGGCTAGCAACCCTACCCCATAAAACCAATCCAATCACCAAAGAAACTTCAAAGCATAGGGAAAATATAAGAAATAAAAATAAACTTATATCTTGCTGGAGTCGGGGAGACGAAATGATGCCAGTTGATGAAAGCCTGCAGGAAGCCAATTGGCCGATGTGTCTTCTCTTCTCCCGATGAAAGCGGAAGTAAGAATGTGGACATAGAGTGTCCGCATATTCTATGCCCTGCTCTATCATGATTCACACTACTACTATTACTACTACTACTACTACTACTACTCGTAGGTGCGCACTGTTGACAAGCCCAATGTTGGGATGAAGCAGCTGTCTAATGCTCCCTTTGGACTACTCTCATAGCATAGTGTAGGGATTTATACTACAACGGTGACTATCTAACAAACTCTTGTCGCATGGTAGGACATCAAGGTAACAATTGTCCTTGTGACATCCACGTGTGTCCACCATGTCAACTGGTAAGTCTCGCTTACTTCTTGTTTCGGTTAAGTGAATTTCCCTTCTTTCTGGCTTAAATCTGTGAACAGTAATTTCATTCACTGGTGTCACGTAACAATTGAAATCTCTTCCATGAATTTAACACATCACACTAGCAGTTGTGGCTTTTTGAAGATGGACAACTTTGTAT